TGGCGGAAGTTGCTCGGCAAGGAAACCGAAGCACCATTTCAGCAGATAACGCTAAGGACAACTTTGAACTCGAAGGAGTTCTGGTTTTCCTAGTTTAGGTCACGACTGGCTGCAGCATAAGCAACGGACAAACATGGTAATTGCATGCAGCTGCTATCGAGACAGGATGTCAGCAGTTGGCGAGACTACGGAACAACTGATTAGCCGTATTATTCCGTGTATTCTCTAGGAATTATTGTCCTGGCACTTAACATACACCTGTATATCACCGTTGGACTATCAAGATAGAGTAGACGTTGCAGCTCGTAAGTCATGGAGATCCCCCTGGGACTTCCACGCCGACTGAATACGATAAGGGTTGGCTATAAAGTCTGTTGTTTTCGTCGACAGAGGAAAAAGATGCCGAAGAGGATGTCGCTTTTTATCGTCGAACATGATCCGACGTACACCTGCCGAAAGTTACGCTGATCGAACGTGAAGAAGGAAAACACGCGAGCTGTGCAACGTTATTCCTCGAATAAAAGTTTCTTTTGTTCGACTGGAAAGTAAAGTAATTGATTTGACGCGGGAAAAGGGCTTTCGATGGCAGGCGAATCTCGTAAACGCGACGAAAAGTGGATTAAAAGGCAAAGTTCCTAAGTACTAGTTAAAACTTGGACTGGAAACGTCGTCGGCGATATTGGACAGAGAAGAATCGTAACAACTTACATTTCCATTAGAGAAGAAGAAAGCGCGTTATTCGAAGGGCTCGTGAATCTCCGCCGTCAAACGCGGTCGTTGAATCATAAGTTGTCTAAGAATTTTCGAAAATCTGCAACGGGAAAACTTTGAAAACGATGCAACATCTTCGCGAAAACAATGATCCGAAATTAATCGATGACGAACGAAAGTGGATCGTCTCGAGAACTAATTATGATAAAGAGCAATAGGGTTGTTAGGCAGGCATTATCGCGAAGGAACTCCGGCAACGAAGCCCAACGACTTAATCATCGGGCGAACTTTGCGCAAAGAGCTGTCGAGAGGCAAAAAGGGTAAAAGAAAAAGGAGTCCTATAAGTCGTTCTGACATTGGGAACAATAGAGGCTAGGTTTCGCCTCATCCATTGGGGAACCAAAACAGCGCTTCTCTTTCCTGCTCCACTCGTATTCCACCGAAACTCGGCTAGAAAAGACTGGCCCGCCAAGAAAATCCCAAGGGAATCCAATCAGAGCGACGAGAAGCTCGAAGCGCCTTACCCTCGTCGACCTCTCGAGTACAAATCTCGAGTACCTCTCGACTGCCTCGACGAATGGCCAGAACAGGATTTACAGCGTCTCCTGGAAGAATCCGTGTCTATTCAGAAGGGAACTGTCAAACTGTAATCAAGTAATTTTTTTTTTTAATTTCGTCGAATCGATCGACGGGCAGATCGCGTTTCGCGAGTGTTGCTCTCGCTTCGGAAATGCTCGCCACGTGACCGGAATGCGCGGCCAATTTCGATAGGATCGAAGCTACCCGATTCGATGAAATATAAACGAGATCGCGAGAAATTTTCACCTGGTACGTTCGCGAATTAATTATAAGTTACTTCTCGGTAACGCGAGTACGTCTTTCGCTCGGGATTCGTATTCGCTTTAATTCGTCGCGTCACGGTGTAGCTTCTCGCCGGAATTAGTCAGCGAGTGAACAAGATTCGAGGGATAATTTGTTCGGTATAATAGGGACGGTAGCAAATATTTTCTGGAAAATTTCCGGGGTTGAATTTGACGGGAATTCGTGGGTAATGCACGAAATCGATTGATTAGGAACTCCATCTCTGAAATACTCGACAAATTTTCTACCTCTAAAGCTCGGTTTACATTAGTAAAGTAAATGGTTGAGTATACTATCCCATTTCTGCACTACTTTACCAACCACTTGTCCAATCATTTATACTCGCGTCGAGTTTAACGATCCTTGACTATGCAAATTACATAACGCAACATAAATACAATCCATATTCGTCGCGTACGAAATATAAATTGCGGCAGTAACCTGGCTCCTCGTTACGCAACAGAAAATGCACCGAAACGGACGAATTTCGTTGAAGCGTCCTTCGAACGTTCATAGTCTCGTGTTTACACGCCGTGATTGCTTCGCGAACAATCTCGCGTATATTATCGATCTTGTGTTTCAGTCGGTGTACAAACACGCAAGAGGTCGTTCGTCCCTCGGTTTCGTTCGATTTTCTGATCGATCTCACCGGGTCTCGAGTGCCTCGAACATCGTTGATCCATATTTCTAGATTATATTTCGGTGAACGACATTCGGCCGCGTATCGACGCGGATCGATCGGAATTCCAACGAAAAGACTGCCACCGCTCCCGGACCAGAGCGGATCGAGGCAACGTCGAAGAAGCAGGAAAAAGATCAATACCCATGTCCCATTTACTGACCCTAACCGTACGAGGCAACCCCATAAAAGCAACCGATCCTTCTCGTCCTTAGGCGACCGTCGAGTAAAAAGGGAAAAAGAGAGAAAGTCACGAGGTGGAACGGTAAACTCGCGTTACCGAAGATCTGTGTACATTACGGATTTACGTTATGGGAAGGAGGATGCCGCGTTAGACGAGTCGTCGCGCGATTCAATCGCGTGCCGTAACGTTCGAAAACATTATCGTGCGAACTCGTGAGTGCTCGTCTCGTCGTCGCGCGACCCTCGTCACGTTCGACGAGAACGAATTTCGAGAGGCAACTTAGCGGCAAAAGTTCTCTCGAAACCTATAAAAGATCGTACCGCGATACATGCGCGAGCCATAAACGGAACGTACGTCCGTCAAGTAGGAGCAACGAGGGAGCGCGAGCACGCGCGTTTCAAAAGTTATCGATGCTATTAATTCTTGGCAAATCCAACATAAATCTGTTATCTTATGCTCGGACCAAGTCGAGGAAGCAATATAAATTCAGCGCGCGCGATGACGCAGGTGGCGGAGCAAAAAACGATCCTTTTAGCATTTTCAAACGTTTGCATTACGCCGCCATCGCTGTTAGCAATATTCTCGCCTCGTAAATATCCGCGTTTTGACAACGAGATATTTCCTGGTGTCTAATAATTTCTCGCGGAAGGATGACCGAATTTTAACGAGACGCCGTTACGCGCATAATGTCGTTCGAGTAGAATTCGAAAAGGGATCTCTCCTTAAGTTTCTGCGTTTTAAATGTAGTGGCCACGCGTGACTTCGTCGTCCCAGTTTTTTCTCGTCGCCTGGTAATTTCTAGCGCTTCGGAGATTGCGGTATCTCCGTAAAAATTTCGACGAGTAAAGATCCTCGGTGCAAAGCCGGTGATCCGCGCGGACTAAATCACCAAGATGCATGGCTTTGCAAACTGTGCAAAGGGGATCAAGAATCCAGCGCTGACTCGTGTTTGATCATCCGCGATAGCACAGAATCCGGGAGACGAGCTGGTATTTACGAATATATCGGATGATGAACGAAGACAATTATTCCAGACAGCCGGAACATCAAACAACATCGGACTGCAGCATCGACGACGCGAAATCCTTAGCATAAGATCCGATCGTTTCTTCCGAAACGAATCGATCGCTAATTTAATCAGTGTCGCCGCGATAAATCGACGATGAAAACTTTTTTTTCTCGACCGACGGACAAGCCCAAACGCGAATGCTCTCGTTTAAATCAAGTTTCATTCAAACAGGATCAAACGGTACATCGGCGTTTTGAAATTCCGCGTTTCGCTGCCGATTGTTCTCTTCCAACATTTTATTCTTTCCACCGAGCGCGCTAATCCAACAGTGAATACCGAACAAAAACCGTCGTTTAAATGAAATTCTATTCAAAACGGATGGGTCGAGTTTTGAAATTTCTCATTTTTGCTTCGGAACTGTTGTTTCGATTGTCCGGCAAAGAATCGTTCGAACGAAATTCCACTTGTACGCGGTTTGTAAGTTCGACGAACGAGAGAGGAAAATAAACCGTAAACGGGAGCTTTCGTTGGAGGTAAATTTGACGGCACGAGGCACGTAGCTAAGGAGAAACGTATAATAGGAAAGCTGTGTGGAATATAATGGTATATTCGGTTGTAGGTGTCGAAATTGTTGAAGGGGTAGAAGGACGTCGTTCGTTCGGACGGTGGAGCGTTTCTCGGTGACTCGTGCGCGACCCCGAAGAGAAGCGGTATCGAATCGAGGATCTTCGCAGATTTTCGGGGAGCTTCGTTCGCCCACGGTTCGCCCGGGCAGCCGGCACGGCTCAGTACACTGCGTGGCAGCCTGGACCGCAGGCGCCTCCGGTCGAGGACACGTAGTCGCGGTTGCGTGCTAGCGTACGTTCGTGTGCTTTCGACTCGACGCCGTTCTACGTGCTTTTTGGGACACGCGTTCGCTTCCGCGTCACTCTCGACGTTCGTCCCTGGAGCCTCGACGTTTCTACCGACACCGCGCACCACTTTGCATAAACTGCCTTCCCCGTTTTGTCGCGATCCCGTCGAGAGGAATATATCGAATCTCGAAGAACAAACGGAGCAGAGCGATTTAAACTCGTATCGCCCGCGACCCAATAACACTCGATCGGGCAAATGAGCTGATCCGATCGAAACCGAGCATGCCGCTCCGAGCGAAAAGATCGTGATTGATCGACGAGACGAGCTGCTCGAGATGACAAGGTTGAAATTGATCGTCGGTGACGGGGATCGATCGACGTTGATATTCGTGGAAACGATGGGTGCTCGTATCTCGAGCAGGTCGACCCGGTGAGCTTTTACCGAGCCGTCCGAGCATTGTCCGTGCCGTTCGCACGCGGATGCCGATGCTGGTGTCTCTGATTCGTGGTGCACCGACTGCGCGTGTACGTGTGTGCCGTGTACACGGAAGATGTACGACACGGCATAGGCCGTAGTCGTGATACGTTTGTCCCGCGCGGTTCTTTGCTGTTTGCGAGCAAACTCGGTATACGAGGTGTTTTGTGGCCGAAACGGTACAAAACCAAGAGACAGACGGACAGAAGGAGCGACACGGTGAGAACGGAGCGTGGAAACGGAAGAAGAAGAGAGAAAGAGGGAGCTTGGAGAGAGTAATGATCGTGACGACGGTCGCGCGGACAAATGAACACCTCGGCACAGCGTTTGGGATATTCCAAGTGAGTAACGGATCAACCGATCTCTTATCTTTTTGCGCGAATATCGTCCACACGCGTTTCCATCTAGGAATTATGCTCCCTTTAAGACGATCGACCTTCTTGCCGAATCGATTCTAACCAGCCGCGCTAGGATTTTGATCTTTCGTGCGGGCTAATCGAGTCGATTTCATTCGCGCAGCCAGTTTGCTAAGGGAAAGAAATCCTTCGAACTGAAAATTGAGATGAGACCCATTTGCTAAACTGGTTCAACGAATCCCCTTGGGAAATTCGATGAATTTTCCCTAACTCCCCTGCTCTGGCCGTCGTGCCGCTTCTTCGCAATTTTCTGCATCCCCCCAACCCCTGGCCGTTTTCGCGTCTCTCAGCCACGAACGCGCGATAAGAAATCGTTCGAGCATGCACATTCCCTTGGCTACCGCATTTGGCGCGAAATCCAACGTGCGGTTGGCACTGGACCGACCAATAACGTGCATCCTCGAGCGAGCTGGTTCGTGCTTAACAAGGATTTCTTGCTGAAACTTTCCGGAAAAATCTCTTTGCGTTCTCGACTAACTTGGCCGCGTTCAAGCGTACCGCAACGCTACACCGTTGACCTTCCTCGAGCTCCTGTCGTAACCTCGAAATAACAGCGGGGCGTCGAATCAATGGTGCTCGTTCCTCGGCCGAGAAATCACTCGAAATATTTTTGCCAAGAAAAATGTCGCGCTACTCCATCGGGGAAAATCTCAATCCTACCGGCTCCGAGGAAATCCAGCGGTGAGACGATCTTGATGGGAGCTTCGAGATAGCGAAATCCGCCGGTCTTATCGGCACGAAGGGCAAACTTCCGAGAAAATAGGAATAGAAAAGCTGCCCGCTGGAAAAGAGAAAATAGCGACCGGCTTACGTACAGATATATCGAGGAACGAGAGTCGTAAATAAATTTGATAACGCATAACACTACCTTCCCCCTTTTTACTACCGATAATTATTCGTTTACCGACGAATTAGCATCGAGTCGAAGGAATCGCGTACGAGATTGCGGTGTACACGGAATATGTCAGAAATTTCAGCGGCGCCGTTTCGCCGATGACATTACCATTTATACGAGCAGCTCCGGAACGAGACGCTTCGTAAACGCAGACATCGAAATCCATGCAGGAGATTCGATACGAAATGGAGGGAAGCGTCGCGAGCAAAAGGAAGCAAAAAGTTAGCGAGGCGACAGAAGTAGGTTTCAAACGGTAGGACGGACGGCTCGGCTTTTTATCATCGTTCTAAAGTGCAGGTTTCAGTAAGACGAATCGCGAGTCGAACCGAGAAAAACTCACCTATTCCTGTATTTCTTACGATCTCGAGACAGCCGAAGATATTGGAAGAGCCGGTCGTTGATCGGTCCAACTTATTTCTCGCGAAACGGCCAACTTTTCCGCCTTTTCCCGAGACAAATCTTTCGATCATACCGAGCTTTTACCCACCAAAGCCGTCTTGCTTTTGCATTAGCATTTAAATGGCGAGCCAGGAAGGAGCTGGCCAACTTTGTCGCGCTACCGTCGCGGATTTTACGCGTTGGCCAGATCCAGCGAGGAAACCGGCTAAGCGGAAAACGTGGGAAAAGATGGAGGTCGCAAAGTTGTCTTTACGACGTTTTTAGAGACGCTCGTAACGAGCCGCGGTTACAATATCCAGTTACCGAAGCGTTCTACCGTATTAGCATTTACACCGAGTTAATTGGCTTTATCGTAGCCCGTGGCGCGATGATAAAAACCATATGGCGCATCGAGAATCCATTTAGGCGCGAGCTCCAAGACGCAGCATCACCGGGGAGTGGGATAATTCGCGGATTTGGATTACGGACGACAGAAAACCACCTTGACGACAGCTCGTAATTTTTGGTCATTGTTCTTTCGATGCTCGACTTTGCCGACGTTTTAACTCGACTTACTTTCTTCTCGGTGGAAGGAGACTGAAAAGGAATTCGTACAGAAAGCAGACTTCGTATTCGACGTTTTATCAACTTCCGTTCGAATAAAGAATTAATCGAACAAGGAAAAGATCGTCGAGAAATATGTTAATTAGAGGATGGAAAAACTTTGAAGTTTACGTAGGACTTATCGAAAGGAAACGCGAGTTGCAGCCGAGTGTACCGTACCAATTTAGATTGTTCGCAACAGATGCAAAAAAATCGATCATCCAGCTTGGACGGTCGCGACAGACTTGATTCCATCGGTAGGGAAAGGGTGGGAGGAGGTCACAAATGGTAGCAGAGAGTATCAGGTGGGAAACAATGGATAAGGTAGAAAGGAAAGCCGAGGGTTTTGGAGGGAGGGTGGCAGGCGGCTAGAAAGGGGGATGAGGTTCGGGTGTAACTGCTCTTATTTCTTCTCGCAGCCGGCGTGGCCCAGGCTGGAAACAAAAGGCGATCCGACATCAAACATTCAAATTAGAAAACTCCCCCGCCGGTCCGTTCGCGGGCTGGATTACCTAACCCCTCCTCCCCCGGCCCTTTCAGTTTCCTAAAGCATCCAGCAGCCCTCTGCGTTTCCACAGGCCCCGTCGCTCACCGTTAGACCTTCGCATCCTACTTTTCGCGAAGCCACACACGATTCCAGCGGTTGCCTCGGTTGTCTGAGTCCCGTTTAAGCTGCAGCCTACTTTCACCGAAATCCGCCTACGATTTCGAAGGCTCGTAAATCGCGGCCCACGCGAACAGCTTTTGTTTGTGCTCGCGCGTGCACCAGCTACCCCTATGCGAACGTACACATATTTGCTCGCGGTCAGATGCAAGAGGACCGCCTGTAGGCTCGTGGCTGCGGTGTTAAAACAAGGAACGCGAAAGCGCGATCAAACAGCGGCCCATGGTATTAGCGGCCGCTTCTTGGCGAGATTGGAACGAGGAACAAAGACGATACGCCTCTGATATTCTCTTAAATACCAGGCAAAATTCCAGTGGCCTGCCGTGCAACGCGTTCCGATGCAACGATATTATTGTCACCTTTGATCCGATACTTCCTCGGACTCGAAGTAACGTTTGCGACTGAACGAGACAATGTTAATCGTTTAATGCGCGATAAATTCATCCAGAGTGACTGCGACGGACACAAAGGATACTCTTCCCGTTTTTTCTTCAACGAAGTGGTCTATCGATTGGTTTTTATTCAATTTTTTATCGAACGGAACAACATTTGCTCGGAGCACCTTTCAGTTTACTCCGCATGCTCTGGTGGGTTACTTCAAAAGCAACGTTGTACGGGTTGTAACTCTGTCCGTAAAGAGAACTCGATAAACGAATAAGTAAAACGAAAATTATAAAGCGTTGTCGAGATCACGATCGAGATGAGTTATCCGCGTACGTAGATGCCGATGATCGATGACGGAGGCAGCGAAACAAGTAAGAAGCTTATCGTCGCGTAAAAAGTAATATCTACCACTGTCGGAGACAGTGGTAGAAACGAGCGTCGACCGGTATCCGTGACTCGTAACTCAGTTTCGCGGCACTGCTAGCAAACTTTTGTATCCTCGAACGCGTGCATGATGCACCACGAAATTTCGAAACTTCTTCCAAGTAGAATCGTAGCAAGTATTTGCGAATTTGCGAACTTATCCGGTAGGAGTTTCATTATAGGAAGCGGTAGAGGTTGTTTCTGCTCTTGTCGAGCAAAGAGAAGAAGCCGAGGGAAGCTGGAAATTTTCCTTGATACCTTCGGTGACTCTGCGTCATTCCCATACGAGAAATAAATCTACGTTCCAGATGTTTTCGTACACGGACAAGACTTTCCGGAAAAGTTTCTCCGCTTCCAGTGGAGAGAACCTTTGCCGGATAACCTATCCTCTCTCGAGAGGCCTACCGACCAGAAATGTACCCACCGGTTCGAAGGCATATTTTACTCGCTGATAACCATAAATCGCTTACCCTAACAGTTCCCTTTCCATTTATGAAAGCTTCTCCTATCTTTTCGGGGAAATTTCCGTGGAAAATTGTAACACGAGCCAACGTATCCTTGAAATTGAACGCGAGCATCCAGTTGATTCGAAAGCGATTAAAGTTCAAACGTACAACAAAGTTGCGCGCGTTCGTGCAACAACGCATGGTGAAGTTTCGCTATAGCGTCGAGTTGAAGTTGAGGAGTATCGTGTCTGACCATGTACGAACTGATTCTACTTCCAGCGGTAGAACTCGTAGCTGCTGAATGTCAGATCTAACCGAAAGTTCTGTCCACTTTGCGAGCATTATAACTACCGCGTTACGAAATAGCGGTTTAAGTGATTAATCTGTTCGAAAGAACGGCAGAATAACAGTATTCAGAATTTATGCGTTCTTGAGAATTTTAGCTCGCGAATTACGCGATCGTCACGGGACAGAGCTTCTACCGTCTACACAGGATAGACAAGAGCGAGAAGTACTAGTTGGTCTAAAAGTTTTAGGAGACTCTAGACTCGAAGATGAGTCGCGTTCGGGGAGGTTGTTGCAAATCGATGACGAAGTTCTTGGAAGTATTCTGAATGAAACGCAAGTTTTAGCATGAAAAGCGATAGGTGAATAGTCGAGTGGTTCCGAACAAATAACATCTGATCGCGTAGGTCGATGAAAATTTCGGAACGTCCTCGATAGCTGCTTATCACGGTAGATAGAAGGGTACACAGGGACGGATAGAAGTTTACGGTAGACCTAATAGCGGATCATATTCGGACAGAAACGACTTGGCAGCGGGTCCCCGATGAAAAGCAGCTCGTTCGAATTCCCGTCGGGGCGTCGAATTTGACTCGGGGCCAAGCCGGTAAGTCAAAGTCGATTAATATCTCGCGCGCGGTTCGTCGGCTTTAAAATTGGTCGGTGGTGGATTCGGAAAAAATGTGTTGCCGGTTCGTCGATAAGAGTAAACGTTACGTGTAAGCTAAAATTGACTTTACAGTGTTCGCGCGAGACGTGCCGGTAATTAGTTCCGTCGAGTCTAACGTTGGCTGCTGCGGCGACGGCGGGAAAAAGCGAAAAAAGAAAAGGGAGAACGAGAGACGGCGCG